AGAGCTGTTTTTCTGTAATGGGCTCTCGAGCTAAACAAATTGCCTCGTCTATAGATGCCGCAAAGTATTCACTCTTTACAAACGATGGACATTCTTCAATACATATCTGCAGATGCCACATCCGATGCAGCGGCCCTTGTCCGGAGCCACTGCTGACGGGAACCGGGCGCGTAACGTGTGCGCAGCGAGTGTGTGTTACTTGTAACCTGTCCTTGCAATATTCAAGACGATGAAACGAGCGATTAATGGATTGAAGTCCTCGCTAATAACCTGATTGCTCTTTGTAAGGCAACTTAATCTGCCACTGTCTTTGAATGTGATGCCGCATTGGCTACGTAGTCACGGGAGGCTGTCTGCAGTACCTATTACAGCGTCTCTGTACGACTTCATGTCCCGCGATACCTACCTAGATTCCTGAGGCATCTTGGAGGGATACCCGATACCTAGGTAAGGTACCTTAGGTACCTACAGAGCAAAGTGAAGGTACCTTATACCTATCTAGCCGATGAGAAGATGCATTGATTCAAAGTTGAGCAAGCGCAAGATAAGGTACCTACCTTACCTACTAGTATTAACAAAAGACCACCACTTCGGATGCGATTTCATGCAAGTCGCAGGTCATGCGTCGTTGCTGCCCTCTACAACCAGCACAACCCCTCTTTCCAGCAGGCCAATAGCAACAACCTCCAACTTCATGTTTCTTCTTATCACCACCTCAAGTCAGTTTGGTTCCGCATTCAGCGCCCAGCACTCGGTACCAGCATCATCATCAGCAGGGCCACCACGCTGCACCACCCTGAATGTCTCTGATCTAGCGTGTCTGTCTCGGTATCGCTCGTGTCTGGGGTGCATCTACTACTACTACTACTACTACTACTACTACTACTACTACTATTCTGGCGCCCAGTTGCGTTGCTCGCGTGCGCCCCCGCGTCTCACCGGAAGCGGCATCTCGACCTCGAGCTGGACCAGCTGAGCCCGTCTGATCGAGGCCATGACGACCAAGACTCCGATGATTGTTCGCCTCCAGGCCTTGATCTCGACCCTGGGCCCTGGCGCCACAAATCAATGACCCGGCTTCCCAGCTCTTTCAGCTCCTTCAGCCGTATCGATTGATGCATCAGAGCTCTCCAGCCTCCCCTGCTTCCGAGGCGCTGGTCTAGAAGCATTGCTACGACACGGCAGCCGGACGGCTGGCCATACTACTAGTAGCGCACAATGTCTCACATTCGGGCGCAAAAATAGAAGCGTCAACGGGGCAGAAAAGAAGACTCTGAAGAGCAAAAGGCATGGAGCTCCACTGCTCAGGTTCTCCATGCTCGGGACTCCAGACTCCAGACTCCATGCAAGCCTCATTTGCACCCCAGAAATTCCCGGTGGGTAGGACAGGTTGTGGACAGGGATGGTCCAGCTTCAGCCCATCTCCAGCCGCGTTGGAAAAAGTATACGACAATGAGAGGGGATGGGTCTCAGAGCCTCGCTCCAAGAATACATACCTACTTGCATGCCGACGTGGGAGCCATAGACCTATTACCTATTTCCTCCATCCAAGCTTTCGGTAGCTGTCCCGCAGCCCACCGCGTTTGGCAGAATCCTTGCAAGGGCTTGGCTGTCCCGCTCTCCTTGATCTCGAGCACATGCCCGTTTACTTCATCGATGGCCAGGGATCGACGACGGCGCCTGCTCTGATAGTGCTGTGCCCGGGAAACGACCACAACCCCATGCAAGGAGACATGCAAGGACGATGTTGCACGACAATCGAATGGAAAACGGAAACCCACAACGACGTCAACAGACAATGCCCGCCTCTCACGTGTTGTTCTCGGTCTACAGCGTCATGCCACCAACGCGGGAACAGGGGAGCAAGCCACAATCACAGCATCGCCGTGGGGTGGGAGACGCTTGATCTGCTGCCCTCCGACACTCCGGCTACAGTCACGTCTGATCCATTGGTTCAGGAGACACTGCAGGCGCAACAAGGCTGCCGTGCTGCCGCTGCTGTGCGACAGAATCCCTCTCGTGCGAATTTGGCCTGCAAATGGGCGGCGACTTCCGATGGACATTACCAAGCAGTCTGAGCCGCGTTCTCTTCCCGACGTGCGCTTGAAACCATCACCGGTGTGAAATCCTACGGAAATATTGGCCCAGTGCTACCACCAACTACCTCTCACGGCCTCCTCTCGATTCACATTTCCCCGCCCTTATCCCATTGCATAAAGTCCAACGTTTCAACCAGAACGGATGTGTGGGCCGTGACGATGATGGCACGGGACTGCTCGTCGAGCTTCTCGGCAGTGGCTTCAAAGTGGGAGCCCTCGAACTGCACCAATAAGCAGCGATGCTACGTGCCGGTATGCGCCTATCAACGTATGTACCTTGCCAGCAACAAGGACTCTTGCATATCCGGAAAATCCAGACGCCCATGTCATTGGTCAGAACGTATTCGAATGCATACATACTTGCCCGTACGAGCACATACGGTATTTGTTACAGTCTGCTCAGGAAGTAGAGCGACGCTGGCTGGTGTCCCGACGAAAGTCCTGCCGCTCTGATGACGACCACGAATGCCTCCCCCTGTGACGCATCCAAGCATCGTGGGTCTCCTCATCCGCCCGGCTTGTTGTTCATCAACGGCATCCAGCCGCTTCGCTCATCGGGCAGCCATCGGTTCTCCACCACGGAGTCATACGGAACGATTGGGCCCTCGACAATCGAAGCATTGCCCCGATTGCCTAGATCCATCGAGGCAACAATCATGATGGGCGGCTTCCTAGCCGTGTTGGATCGGCCAAGCCCCCGAGGAGTGTGGCTTAGCTATTCGTCGTCCAGTTCACAGATCGCTGTGAAGGCGACCAGGGTGATTCGGTGAAGGCACGCCGTTGCGGCTTTGATCTTTCCACTCATGACATAACTCGCCGAATCAGTCCTTCGGAACTCGTTTATTTGTCATTGGCCACACTGTCGGGTGTATATTGGCAACGGGGACAAAGTATATGAGGATTCATCCACTTACACAAAAGTCGCCGGACATTCATCTACATGCTGCAAATACTTGGCACACGAACAGACCCTCTTTCCGTGTGATCCAGGGCTCGTATGCTTGAACAACTAGATATTGCATCGATCAGTCGGATGGCCCTGGTCGTTGGTCTCTGGCTGCAGATCCGACGCCCAGCATTCCCTGTCTCTCAACAAGGTATTGGCTGGCTGATGGTGCATGGGAGGCCTCGGCGCGTCTGCTCCCGATTTGCCTGTCAATACATACATCTGAAGCACGGCAATCAAGCATTGAGACTCGATCCCGATGAGTGTTGGGACAGGTTAAAAGGACACAGTGCTATCATCGGTGTCTGGCAGCAACCTGGGTCGATCCTTGGTCTGTTGGACCAAACAACCATCTACCAAGCATCAGACATGCGCACTCTGTTATCCGCTCCATATGGTTCAACCCACAGGATGTCGAAGCACCTTCCCACGTCGAAACCCATGCCATCAACACAGCAATGTGTCTCGCAGACTGCCAATCTGTACCAATCGGTCTTCTCCATCAAAAAATCTGCATAATACCCCTCTTCCCTGCCTCTTGCTGAATCCTTCCTTGACCACAAGGGCGTGTCTCCATCCAGGACATCACATCATAGCCCACGCAATGCTTGACAAATGACAGGCTTTGCCCCCTTCTCTAATGAAGAGCCTGTTCAAACCGTCTTGATGATTGGAAAATCTGCAAGCGGCCTGTTTCATCACACTCATTGTGACGACACTGCCGCCGAGTCCAATGCGTACTCCTCAAGACAAGGAAACTGTTCCCCCTTGCATAACATTCCGTGACCTATGCCCACATCGACGCTCACTACATACAGTCCAAGACTCAAACCTGCGTCCCAATCTGTTTCTCCGAGCACCTGCATAGCGATATCATTGTCTGTATGATATCCACTGATGCTCGCATGATAGGCCAGAAGTCTTGACCCCTCTGTATCGCAGCGACTCCCCAGCCCTAGTAGGTAACTACACACACACACTCTCTCTTGCTTTTCAGTCGATAGCGCATATAGCATACGTTAGAAGAGGGGGGGGGGAGGGGGGCAGCGTTCCCGGGGTCCTCCCTGTTTTGCTGAATCTCCGTGGAACTCGCTTTCAATCGTGTTTCCCTCCGCCTACTCTCGAGAATCAATATCATGTGAAGCGTACAAAGATTGGGTTGGTGTGAAAGGATACTGTCTCTCTGCGAGTCAAGAGTATGTCTTTTCTTTTTCGGTTCCTTCTTTAACCTTTCATCTCAGTTCTCTGGATAACACTCCCCACCTGAAAGAGGGAAAAAAAAAAAAAAAAAGAGAATGGACGTAAAGAGTACGAATCCAGATTCATCGTGGACAGGACCCTCGTTTACGGCCATGGCTACCTTCGAGGCTACCCGATAGGATTCTGTGTCCAAGACTCCTCTGGACACGAAACATGTCACCTGCGTACAGCGTCGTCACTACAATCACATCCACACACAACATGGCCCCTTATTCTTATTTGAGAGTCCATTATCTCAACTCTTTCGTTTTGCACATCTCTGCTCCTCTCCTCGATGATATAAGCTAATTCCCCCAATTGTGCCTCCCCTGAATGATCCTCCCCTACCCAAGAGTCGGGAAAAACGGGGGCAGAAAAAATGGTAACGCGGCATGAACAAACTTCCATATGTGTGTGTGTGTGTGTGTGTGTTTTTTCCCCCATCCCCCCAACCTATCCCATGAATGTTCGTGCGTGCTTCGCCCGATAGACGCCTGTGCTGTTATTATTCCATTGTATGCTTCCCTGTCCCGCGCAGTGGTCCCCCATGTTCAGATTTGGTACCTGGTATATGGACAATCAATTACTCCCGTCGCGAAAGGAAAAAAAAAAAAAAAAAGGAGCGGAGATATCATAGGAAAAGAAGGCCGAGATTCCAGTGGTTTCATAGAAAAAAAGGTATTGAAATCAATGAAGAAGGGCGGCGCCTCTCCTCCTCACAGCCTCCCACTGCGAATCTCCTTTTCGAAAATCTTGACCCCCCAAACGTCGTAGAACTGCAGCGGTCCGACCGTCTTATATCGAAGCCGTGACCCTCCGTTGAGCGCTTCGTCATCGCTGTCGCTTTCCGAGTCCAGGCCGTCCAGCGACAGAGGCTGCAGCACGTTGTGGAGGCCGGGGGTGGCCGTCGTCAGAGCCTTGCCCTTGCTCTTGCCCTTGGCCCGTTTGTCGTTGCTCTGCTCGTCCGGCGCCTCGTTGGACTCGTCTGACGGCCGGATGACGCGATCGACCCGGTCGTCCTCCATGGCAATCCACTCCAGCTTGAGCTCGGGGTAGTGGGACAAGTTGTCGACGATGAACCTCAGAACCTCTCGAACAACCCAGATGCACGTATCGTTATTACGGAAGTGGAGAATGTTGATGGCTCGGAGCTTGACGAGACCCGAAAAGTATTGCATAAATATGTGCTGTACAAGTTAGCTTTCTCTCCCAGCATGCTACAGTGACTTTCCACCATCACTTACCACGGCCTGAATGTTCATGCTCAGTGCCAACTCTTCGAGGTTCCGCCCTTGCGTGCAGATGAGAATCATGGCCTTCTCGTTGCAATCCCAGCGGCTGCTGCTGGCTTCGTCCTTGATCATGAGTCGCTTGAGCTTGCCAATGTGCTTCTTGAGTACGAGACGACGAATCTGGTCCATGGTGGTGAAGCCTGGCAACGCAGTGCTCTCGGGCTTGCTCTTGGGGCTGCGCTCCAGCAGGAAGAGGTCGTGGATTTCCTCGAGCTGGGAGGCAAAGGCGAGGAACTGGTTCGTCACATGGTCGGTGAAAATGTTCCTCAAAGGCAGCGGCCGCACCCTGTTTGCCTTGGTGAGGGAAGCCCAAATGGCCGTTTGGTCGCCGACGTTGAGGAGCGTCAGCTGTCGGAGAGACGATAGATTGATCGTCTGGGACAAGACGGATGCCTTGACCGGCACAAGATAGATGCTCAGAGACGTGAGCATCAGACCTCTTGTGAGACGGACATAATCCCTCATACTGTTGGAGTTGCTGCTCGCTGCGCGCCGCTCCGCTTCGTCCATCTCCTCCTGAATAACCTGGATCTCGTTTTGGACGTCCGCGAGCATGGCACTGAAGCCCCTGAGCTGAGCGTCAGCGTCCTTGATCTGTGCATAGCCCAAGGACGAGCCTCCTGAACGCAAATCCTGGATCTTCTGCCCCACAGCCTCAGTCAGATCTCGGAAGTAGCCGAGTTTAGTCAAAAGGTTCTCAATGTTGACTTTTGGCACAGAAGATTGACCAGCAATGTCAGCTTTGTGGCTGTCATGGACCTCTGTTTCCCTGGGCGCCTTTTCAGACGCTTCGGCTGCAGGAGTAGGAGTAGTAGAGCCGGTGGAGCTGCCAGGCTGGTAAGGGTCCGTCTCGGAGGCATATCCTTCAACGGCCTTGACCTCGGCGCCATCCGACGGATTTGACTCGTCCGACTCTCCAAAGACATCATCGACAGCTTCGAGATGAGCAATGTCGATATCTTCGGGGGAGGTCTCGCTGTCTTTTCTCTTTGTCAGTTTGCTAGTCGAGGCCGCGCCGGATAACGTAGCTTCATCTGCCCTGGCGTTGGACTCTTCTCCAGCTGCCTTGGTCGAGGGAGCCGCGGCAGCCGCGGCCACTGATGACTCGCCCTGGGACAAGACACCGCCGGTCGAGCTTGTCTCGCCCTCGTTTGCGTGACTCGGCTGGACGCTGGGCTGGGCCGAGGACTCCACAGATTCTACGTAATGCCGAGCAGCCTTGGCAATGGTATCAAGCATATCCTGCGCTGCAGCGGTGGAGCCGGGAGATCCTCCCGTGATGGTCATGAGTTTGCTCGAGACGCTCTTGATAGACGCAATGAATGCTTCCCTGACGTTTGTCGGCACAGCCTCTCCCTGCTCCTCCTTCTCTTCAGTCTCCTGGATAGGCTCGTCGCTCTCTGCCGTGGGCGCGAGAGGAAAAGGCTGGAATATCCGAGCAAGCACTGATTCTTGAAGTCTGCGCTCCTCGAGCACGCGGTTAGTTTTGTTGTCGAAGGCGCTGCCAGAGTTGTTCTGCTGCGAGGCGGGAAGGACCTGGAAGTCGTCGTCGACATCGGAATCGTCTGCGTCGGAATCAGGCGGCTGCTTACGCGCCCGATTCGCCAGACTATCTGAAAAGGAGAGTTGCAGCTCGGTAAGTGTCGAGCTCGAGTTCCGGATGCAGGCGTTCAGCTCGCCCACAATGTCGAGATTCTCAATATCCAAAACACTCAGACTCTGGAGGTTCTTGAAGCCCGAAAAGGTGGAGGGTTCCTTGGCCCCAGTCACGCGTTTCCCTGCTTTGCTCTTCGATGCCGACTTGTACGACGGCGGGAGCAGAGCAGGCGGGGGCCCGCTGACAACCGGCGGCGCAGGTCCCGGGGGTTGGGGAGACAGCAGGGCGAGCGGCGGGATGCTTCCCCAGTGGTTCGTCGGCTCCGGCTGGGGATGAGGGTCAATGGAGACGGGCAGCGGTGGCGGTTGGACATAGTATGAATCCCCTGCCTGCATCCGCACATGCAGTTTCTTCAGGGATGCAATTCTGTGCAGCTCACGGTAGACGGGCCTGCTGAGCTCCACCCGGATATTCCATCTAGTATTGTCAAGACTTAGCATACTTGCTGCGCTAGCAACGAAAGCCGGCCCTGATGCTTTCGCATCAAAGGGAGCAAGGAACGCATGGCAACTCACCGGAAGACCTCGAGAGATCGAGCCTTTTTCAGTGTGAGATGAAGGAGCGTGTTGAAGAACTTTCCGCAACTAGCACTGTACAGGTAGGACTGGTAACAGCACTCGCCCTTAACGCCAGCGCTGAGCGTGTCCATGGACAGATCCCTCAGGTGTTTGGCATAGTCGTAGTTGCTAGTGGTGAACGTATCGAGTCCGCCAGCTAGACCATCGATGGGGGAATCGAAGTTGAGGTCATCATCGTCGGGGAAGATGATGTGAAAGTTCCTGTACAGCTGAGCCGAGGCAAGTTCGTGAAAGCGACGCGAGACGAGGGCGAGGCATATCAGATCGCTCTGGGAGCACTGGACAAGACGGCCCAACGGGGGGACATTGTAAGCATAGGAGCCTTGGGCATAACGGGATTCTCGGGCATGTGGGCTTGGAGTCGTGGGTTTCATACGTGAGAGATGATTTCGCGCTGTGTCTCTGTAGGCAGGTCGAAGAACGTGAGTCGCTGTCCCATCGGTCTGAGCGTCACCACCTCGTCGTTGCCGTCGCTCGTGGCCATTGTGTGGATTCGCCGGGCGAGCGGCAGCAGGCAAACGAGAGGGGGCGACGCTGGGAAAGACGAGGCGCGCTCCTCACTGCCGAGCGCGATGAGGACAAGACGCCAAGCGTGAATATCCGGATGGTTGGCGAGACCTGCCGGCGAGAAGCGCACAGGGCTGCCCGATGCGGAGTGGCGATGGAGGCCACGTTACGAGGGCGGAGGAGGAGTTTGCGACGCAAGAGGGCGGCGAGTTCGCAGGCAGGTATCAAAGACTGGACGCCGGGGGGTTTTCCGGTAGCGATACTCGGTGGTGATGCCGGCCTAGCTGTACAGGTTAATTGTGTTGATGCGATGGTTGAGGTCGCGATGATAGCAGGGACGGTCGGGAATCGGAGAGGAGAAAAGGCCGAGCTGAAGTCGCAGAAGAAGAGAAGAAAGACGTAGGGAAAAAAAAGAGAGAGAGGGAATAATGGTCTGGACTTTCGGCCTGCCAGACGCCGTTTGTCGGTTCGAGCAGAGGCGCTTGACGGCGCTTGGCGAGACTCGAAGGCGTTGTCGTTGTTTGTCCAGGTCCGCGGACGATGATCAAACTGAAGGCTGGCTGAAGGCGGGCGCAGGTGGAGGAGCCTGAAGCGATGAAGAATCAGAACCTGGACTTGCCCGAAACATGACGATGGGCCAGGCGGGTAGAGGGGCCGGTCCAGCGGGGTGGATGGGCCACAGGGCGATGGTTTAGGCGGGCTGGCGCTAAGTCTGGGAGAGTTTGGCCCTGTAATTATGGGGGGGTGGTGTGCTGGCGCCTCGCTTGGCGGGCTGAAGGGGGGGGCTCGTTATAGTGGGGGAGGACAGGGAAGGCGCACGTGTTCATGTACCCGTACCTACATGTCAGACCGAGGTGGTATCGCCGAGTTGAGGTGCGCGCTCAAGAGGGATCATTGAGGGGAGGCAACAGCGCGAGTCGGGCTGGCTGGGTGGACCTGGAGCGGCTGAATAGGTAGTAGTGCTAACACGGCCTGGAGTTGGTGCGAGTCTGCAGGTACCGGTACCTGACGGGGTTGGTCCTTGATCGCGATGTCTCTGAGAAGCGTCCTTTACAGATGCCTACTGAGTACTAGGCAGTAGTTGATCTTTGTCACCAGACAGGAGAATGGGTGAGAGCAGCTCTATTGTGCAACAGTATCATTGAATGGTCAGCATTGAATGGGAGGCAACTGGATAGAAGGAGCGTACCTGAAGTTGGGCGGGCGTGCTTCATCACCCAACTGCCAGTGCCTGTAATCAGGCATACAAACGGCCCGGTTGTCCATCTTGGCCTCTCGGTGCATCTCAGGTGAATATTGAACGCAGCCCAAGTAGTAATAGGAGACATATTGAGAGTGTGGATGGCTCAGCTGACGGAAACAGTCAATCTCCTGAAAAAACAGATGAATACAGCACCACCACCACCAAGAACTGAATCTGCAAGTCTTTATCGACGTGCTTGTCGTCAGTACAGTATATATGCTGCTCGCTAATCTTATAGTCTACCGTCCATTCTGTATGTATCATCTAAGACATACCTGCATGAGGTGAGTCATACGCACATGGCCCTGGTCAGTAGGGCATGAGTAGTAGATGCATGAGCCAGACAACAACATACGACGAGATACAGTAAGCTGGACGATGTACAAAATCGTCTTCTCTCAACGCAGATGCTCTTTGCTGGCATTTCATATCAGCTCTTTGACAATACTCGCATAAGAAGAGACTCTCGGGCACTACCTAGCCACTACAGTAGATAGTATATCTACAACTCTCTCGATCTTGACATCAGACATTCCTCAACATCTTATACTCGTATGGCTTCATAGACGGGAAATCTCCAGCCAAATGCAATGCAGCCCGTTTAGGTAATTGCCGAACATGGCGCCACTGGCCCTGCTTTAGCCGCCCCCCCATAAGGGACCGTCCATCTGCCAACCAAAAGAAGGCAAAGAACCAGCATCTCCTCCTCTTTTCTCTCCTGCAAGCAATTAAAACACTTCAATTCGCAATTCGGGATTTGCCATTTCCAGACTCCCAGTATTAATGAGAAACTTCCCCTCCTCATCTGCCTAAATCCCGTGCAGACTGAACATCTCACGCACCTCACGTACCGACTACTTCTCACGGTGGCCACTCACACCTTGCTCAGCACGGATGTCGGCACCATCGCGACGTATCCGTGATATTGATGGCCTCAACCCCCCCATGAAGCGAGTGGGCTGTGCAAAGCAGACGATCTGGCGCTGTTAGTCGGCACTTCAAATCAGCTAGTAGTACTAAGAGCAAGAGGGGTCTGCAGGTGAATCCTACATAGGCACAAAAATAGGTACAAGAATAGCAGCCCGTCTCGTCTGTGGCTGTTGAATTCTCCAACAGTTTCTCGATCCTCCCGCTTTCGTCCACCGGTGCAAATACCGCTCCCTTTTCTGCCTTGTCGCTCTTTGATGATGATGCGTGGATAACAGCTGAAGAGGTCGGAAAAAGAAGCAGGATTTTTTTTTTCTTCTCTCTGTTCTTTGGCCTTTTGCTTGTGCGTCTGCGTGTTCTTTTCATTGCATCGCTTGTCATATTCGTCTTGCGTTACCATCTGTGACTCCAAGCTGGGACATCCGCTCGCTCGCTTCTTGCCGCCGCGTCAAACCCCCAGACTTCAATTCCCAGCAAGCTCGCCTCCAACTGTCTATCGACCAGAGCTGTCACGAGGAAAGAAATAAGGAAGAGGTTCGATTGAGGGAAGTACCCAATACAAAGAGACCATCATCAACAGCGCCATGGCCGACACCGAAGAACCTCAGTTCAACACGCTGGCGGAGAGGATCGCGGCCCTCAAGAAGCAAAACAACTTCAGCAGCGTCGGCACTCCTGAAGCTGCCCGCAAGAAGCCTCCTCCACCCCCTCCGCCTTCTGGACGGCCCGCCGCCGAATCGCGAAGCCAAACTGCTCCCGTCGTAACGGTCAACGGCTCGACCCGCGAAACAGCGCCTCAGCAGCCTCCGAGACCTGCCAGACCAAATGCCGATGCGCCGCCACCGCTGCCTCGTCGAAACACGCAGAATGTGAGCTCGCCGGATGCCTCAGCACCCCCGCCATTGCCGTCGCGGACCAGCTCCCACCAGGCGTCTCCAGCGCTGCCACCGCGACGAGCATCGACCATGACTGTCCCCAAGCCTTCGGGCCGGCGCAATTCTGCTTCGTCCGAGGCCTCAATGCAGTCTACCATGTCCTCCCTGTCTCTGACCAAGACGATCTCCTCGACCACGAGCAATGGGTCCAACGGAACTGTCGTGCACAAGCTGCCACCGGTCTGTGACATGGCCAGCCTACCTCCTCTCCCACCTACAAGACGGGAGCTGGAGGCCAAGGCCAAGGAAGAAGCCGCTGCCAGGGAGGAGGCTGCTAGGCAGAGCGCTGCCAGGGTCACGCCCAGCCAGTCAGCTAGGCCTAGTCTCCCCCCCAGGTTGCCGTCAAGGCCAGCCAGGCCGCAGTCCCAGTCAAGCACCGACGCTGTCCCCAAGCCCGTGACGGTTCAGATCCGTGGCTTCGGGACTCGAACGGAGCCTCCACGGATGCCAACGAGGCCCCGGATTGATGCAGCAGCTGATGATGTTCCGCCCCGAATGCCAGCAAGACCCAAGGTCGACGCCGCCGATATCCCTCCTCCGGTTCCCCTGGCCTCCCGGCCATCCATGGCCCAGATTCAGGCCTTTGCCTCCAAGGCACCGCCCGCGCCCGTGGTATCCAATGACTGCTGGACGTGCCGAGACTGGAGCGGCCCCGATGGTGTGGCCGCCCAGTACCCCCGACAGGGGCTCCCCCAGCAGGACATTGTTGGATACCTTGCCCGCGTTCTCTGCGAGCCGTTTCCGTCATACAACGACAAGGCAAGGGCCATCTTCACCTGGTTTCACCACAACATCATGTACGATACCAGGGCCTTTTTCAGCGGCAACATTCAAGGCCGGACGCCCGATGAAACCATACGGTACGGCGCGGCTGTATGTCAGGGGTATGCGGAAACGTACAAGGCCATCGCAAACAGGGCCGGCTTGGAGTGCGTTGTCGTTGGCGGTCACGGAAAGGGATACGGCTACACTGCTTTGAAAAAGGGCGAAAGGCCTCCACCGCCCGACCCGACTGGCCATGCATGGAACGCCGTCAGAGTCGATGGTGGTGTCTGGAGGCTCCTGGACGCTTGCTGGGGCGCCGGCCACATCTGCGGAGCCAACAACCTATTCAAGAAGGAGTTTCACCCAGTGCAGTTCACAAACAGCAGCGAGCAGTTTGGCGCCACCCATTTCCCCTCGGATCCCAGGCACCAGTTCCGCAACGACGGCCGCACAATCACTTGGGAGGAGTACATCATCGGACGTTCGCAGGGCGAGCCGGTGGAAGCCTTTGGCAACTGTGGCCAGGAGGGCATCGCGGAAGACTCCATCGAGCCCGCGTCGAAGCAGATCCCCGTCCACAGCGGCCAGGTTGTCCGATTTCAATTTTCCAAGCTGTGCGAGCACTGGAAGTCGGAGACGCACGGCCAGGGGAAGCCGCCGTTGTTCCTGCTGCAGATCCACGGCCTCGACGGCCGCAAGGACGACATGATTCCCATTGAGACGGATGGCTACTGGCACTGGGCCGACGTCCATGCGCGGGACCTCGGAGCGCCGGGACAGTCGGTCATGGTGCTGCAGCTGACGTCTCTTGACGGCCAGGACGCGCGAGGCGTGACGGCCCAGCAGTTTCTGTCCAAGAAGGGGCGCTGTGCCATGGCCTGGGCTGGGGTCGCCAAGTGGGATTTGGTCTGAAGCGACAATTGCGAGGGCTTGGTCATTGCCACCCTTTTACGTATACGAAACATGTGCTGTTGATTGCTCGATTCGAGCCTGTTTTTGGTGGATCAATCAAGGAGAGACGAGAAACGTCTTGGTAATGAATGAATGAATGGGATCTATCTGAGAACTTACAGCTGGAACATTGTGTCTGATGATATCACGCCTTGCCTCATCCTTGTGGCATTCAATATTCACAAGCATCAATACAAGTATCTATTTGCATATGAAACAACCAGGAATACTTCCTGCATACTATATCTCTGCTTCATCTCCCTCTCGTCTCATCATCTTTACATTAGGTGCCTGACTCTTCAATATATCCTACCCTACACACACCCCAGCCGTGCATCTAACCCACCTTCTGCACGCACTTGATCTGGATCCACAGCACTATGCACACTCCGTCTTCTTGAGACCCCGTTCTTTCACGTGCACACCCCCTCCCTTGCATGCAGAATGACGAAACGCCACTTTTTCTTCTTTCCCGCTTTCCGCATTTCCCCAATTCTGCAGCTTGTCACTTTTTCTTAGTACGTGGCAGAAACGGGCAAATCAGGGCGCTTCTTCTCTCTTCAATTCCATCTTCAATTCTTACCTCTCTCTCTCCCTTTTGACTACGTTGCCTTTCTTTCTCGATTCTTTCCCTTCGCGATTCTTTGTAACTGTTGATTGAATAGCGCGTTCGACTCTGATTCGCGCTCTGGTAGAGGACTGAGGCGTCTTGTTCGTCTTCTCACGCAGTTCCCTTTCGCGACTCCGAGCAGCTCCTCGTTTCGCACCCAAGCTCCCAGCTCTCCGCGAATCGCAAAACCAACGACCCAACGAGCGAGCAAACAGAACAATCTCACTCTCCAAGACGATGCGACCAGCCGAGTCCTCCATTCTTTAGCCACTCCCGACCCCCCTCACCCTCCGCCAACATGGCGCCTTCAGCCTCATCCTCCTCCTCCTCCGCCTCCTCCCCCACCAGCCTCTCCCGCACCGAAACCCTCAGCCTGGCCTCCCTCTCCGCCGCCTCGCTCGCCATCCTCCTCAACACCCTCCACGGCGACGGCGAGCCCCTCATCGCCTCCCTCGCGCTCTCCCTCGCCGCCTTTTCGCTCTGCTACGCCATGATCCGCTGGCTCGGCCCGACCTTCATCAAGGCCGGCTTCCGCGGGCGCGATCTAGGGAAAGTCAACAGCGCGGAGCTGCCCGAGTGCATGGGCGCCGTGTGCGCCGCCGTCTATCTCATCGCCGTCATTGTCTTCATCCCGTTTCCGTTCTACAAGGATATCGTTGCGGCGACGAGCGGAGGCGGGAATCGCGATGTGGTGGTTGAGATGGAGCGGTATGCGAATCAGGGGGGCCGTTTCCTGCATCGGTTTCCGCACAACAAGGTGAGATGGACCAGAGAGACGGGTTTGACAGTTGATGCATGCATCGCAAACAACTCGAAACACAGCCTCAACTCCTCCTCCTCTTCCTCCCGGTGGGTATATATATATACACAACTTAGGAAGCTCACCCATGGTATAGCTCGCCTCCTACCTCGGCGCCATCATCTCCCTCCAGACCATCGCGCTCCTCGGCATCGGCGACGACCTCTTTGACATACGCTGGCGCCACAAGTGGTGGATCCCGGGCATCGCCTCCATCCCGCTGCTCGTCGTCTACTTTGTCGACTTCGACGTCACCTCCATCGTCATCCCGCTGCCGCTCCAGCCCCTGCTCGGCGAGCTCTTCGACCTCGGCCCCCTCTACTACGCCTACATGGCCTGCGTCGCCATGTTCTGCCCGCAGAGCATCAACATGCTCGCCGGCATCAACGGCATTGAGGTATCCCAGTGCCTCGTCGTCTCCCTGCTCATCGCCTTCAACGACTGCCTCTACCTCTTCACGCCGTACCCGCACCCGGCCACCGACTCCCACCTCTTCTCGCTCTACCTGCTCCTCCCCTGGATCGGCGTCTCCGCCGCCCTCCTCTGCCACAACTGGTACCCGGCCCGCGTCTTCGTCGGCGACACCTACTGCTACTTCTCCGGCATGGTCTTCGCCGTCGTCGGCATCCTCGGCCACTTCTCCAAGACGCTCGGCCTCCTCCTCGTGCCCCAGCTCTTCAACTTCCTCTACTCCACCCCGCAAATCTTCGGCCTCGTCCCTTGCCCCCGCCACCGCCTGCCCAAGTTCAACGCCCGCACCGGCCTCCTCGAGCCCTCCGTCACCCCCTGGACGCCCGACCGCCAGCCTCACCCGCTCGTCGCCCGCGCCCTGCTCCTCCTCCACCGGATGCGCCTCCTCCGCGCCACCACCACCGCCACCACCACTGTCGACAGCAGCAACGAGAAAGGCAGCACCACCATCTTTGTAGAGACGACTAACCTCACTCTGCTCAACCTCTGGCTCGTCTGGCGCGGGCCCCTCAAGGAGAACCGCCTCGCGTGGGAAGTCACCCTGCTGCAGCTCGGCGTCGGCCTCTTTGGCCTCTTTGTCAGGCACAAGCTCGCGCTGCTCGTCTTTAAGGAGGACAATTGGGGCAGCACGGGCCAGCATTAAGAAAAAAGAAGTGGGAGTTGAAGTAGTTTGGCTCTGATGATTTCAGCGATTTATATTCTCGCCAATTTCCTACTACATCTTCAATGTACATAGTTCAGTCCATCTCATCCCGTACAAGGGAGGCAATCAAAAAGGACCACCACAGTGCTTTCAAGACTCAAAACTTTCCCTTTCCTCCTGTCTGATTCGTATAGCACCCTGAATCACCGTAGGTCACTATAGGTATAGTAGTTGGAATAGAGCCCTCAAAAAAGGGCAACCTTGAGAATCCTGTTTCTACATCAAGTTGCTCTGTCGGCTTTGTCTGTACCGACCTGCTTCCCTACAAACTAAACTCCTTCACCGGAAAACCCTTCCGTTGGAGATACCACTCTTCAAACACCGGGGGCAAGTAAGAAGAAAAAAAAAAGTTCCTTAGAAACGTTGGAATTTCACATGAATCATCATCTCAGACCCAAGACCCATCCGAGCACACATACGGAGTACAGGCCACAAGCATCCATCATGCCATCCTCCCGCCAAGCAGGGAATCGTTGCAAATAAAAAAAAACGAAGAAAGACAGTTCCCACTCCCCGTCCTATACCCATCTTCCTCCTATACCATCGGGTCCTCCCGAACGTCCAGTTAAAATTCGTAATGATGAAAGAAGAGGCAAAGCACATGAAAAGCGTTTGAACAAGTAGTAAAAGTACACAGGAGCCCTTCACGCCGACCCCCAAGTAAAGACCTGGTTTTGTGAAATGAGTTGGTGGGAAAAAAACCAACCGTGCCCTGAGGTTACGCCCCTCCTCTTGAGAAAAGAAAACAAAACATCAGAATGTCCCCGAACTGAGTGTCCAGCATGCTCCAATTTTTGTATATCCGGAGCGTTAGGTTGCCTAGGTTGGCTTTGATTTTGCTCCAACCCGGTTCAAACCAAGAGAAAAGTTCCGGACTATGATTGCATCATAGTCAGGTTTCCGCCCTCTTGAACCACCTTATGGCTTGACATCCTTGTAAGATGTCTTATCTTTCATGTCCCAAGCCCTCTGCCCTTGCCCCCAAACGCCTGGTAAAAGAAAGAAAAAGAGAAGAGAAAAAAGGATTAAAACTAAGGGGCAAGCATCCGAATTGCCCACTCGCCTTGTATTGCAACAAACTCCGACGTCCCGTTTTTGCTCCTTGAAGCTAGTATTGTTCTTGGATTGGAACAAGAGACACGTAGGCCCAAGAGAGTATGAAGATAAAGCACTAGCATTTTCGGCTTTCACGGATGGCCGTTGGTAGACAGAGTGACTGCGCTCTCGGCCTTGTCCGTCGTGGCTGACTCCGATGCGTTCTCCACCTTGATCTCATCGACCTCTGCTGGGCTGGGCTTTGTGGAGATGAGGCTCAGCGACGGCTTCACTGCTGCCTTGTTCATCCTGCTCTTGGTATAGTCGCTCAAGCTCAATTTCTTCTTGATTGGGCTTGGGGTCGCGACTACTCCGTTGGCAGCTGAGCTGATGCTGGAGATGATTGCCGACTGAACGGTAGAGCTGCCCGCAGATAGAGGTGTGGTCGCTGTCGCAGATGGGGTAGAGACCGTCGTCTGGTCGAGCGCAGGTAAGGTGGGCAACTGAACCCGCAGCTCTAGTCCCTTCGGTCTTTCCAAGGTCAAACTTCTCTCACTCGAAGGATTGGGTGCTTCCGAGGAAGGGGCCGGGAGTGCGTCGGGTACCCGTTGATCTGCGTCTTGTTCCAGTGGAGGAGGCGGAGGTGGAGAAGAGGAAGAGGGTGGCTGTTGAATGTCCGCCTCGGCTTTTGGCAGGTCGAGTTTCTCATCCACTTCCGCTACATCAACGTCCATGGCGTCCGCTGGTGAGGGCCGCGAGGAAGCGGAAACGGAAATTTGCTTGTGGTCTACCTCGGCGCGCGCTTTGAAACGATTGTTGAGCAGCCGTTGCGAAAGAGAAATGATTCTCTTCTTGCGACATGGAAGAGCCGACGGCTGGCTGAACCACTCGTCGTCAACGGGATCCGTCTGAATGCCCATGTCACGATAGGCAGACCGCGGGGGTGCCGAAGACTGCCTTGGGGGCGATTGTACATCTGCTGAAGATCGGTGGGGTGCCGCAGGCTTGGTGTGGCTTCCGAGATTCGGGGATATTGAGCCAGCGGGCGATCCAGATTTGCTCCGAGAGGTGGTGCTGGCGTCAGCATAGCTGCCAATGTGAGGCGTCGAGCCGGTCCGAGACTTTGATTTGGAGGACGTTGACGTCGTCGTCCCGTCTGACACCCTTTTCTTCTTCCTCGGCGGCTGCTGCTGCTCTTGCTCCATACGCCGGAAAGAGTCCTCGACCATGGCTACTTTGCGCTTGTCACGATCTGTAGGCTCGGTCAATATCCCCAGTTGGTCAAAGGAGCCCTGGCGCAGCGGGGTTCGATCTCTGCTAGAGGGCTTACTCCGCGCTGGCAC